AGTTCTTACTCTGCAGTAACTACTGCTTCTTCCAGATGTTTATCTTGACCTAGTGCATGTAGGCCTTATTATATTAAAATAGCATTATAATGCTGCAGCACGATAAAAAAAAGACATTTGGCGCTCCATGTCCGGACAACAGCATGAGTTGCTCATCATCTATGACTGAAGGTTAAAATCTACAGCTTTGTTACTTCAAGAGACTCGCTGCATGTTAGAAATGGAATTAGAGCCAAGATTAGCTGCTCCGTTTATTTCTGGAATTCTTCTAGTACATAGATGTGATTTGAATTTAAAATTTTGGAGCTAAAGTGAGGGATTGGGTTTTTTTTGTCTAAAATGGCCGGTGCCATGTCAGATGCAAGACTGATACAAATATTTTCATGGTTATTGGCTGTTTTTTTGGGGGTTTTGGGTTGGTTTTTTTTTGTGAAGGGTATTCCCTTACTGCTTTTACAGCACTAGTAACAGTGTAATGCTGATAATGAAGCCAACTGTCCTGATGTTCCTCCCTTTCATTTTTTTCTCTGTATATTTAGGAAGGAATTTTCTTCAAGATAATTGTAAAGTAGTCTAAAATTTTTGAACTTGCCAGTTAATGTAGCAATTAAAGTTAGGATATCCCAGCCTACTTTGAAAAGAAAATTGAGTACTTAAAACTTTGGATTTTATGCAAACTGATAGTGGGAGTATAGGCTTCAGTTCTGAAAATTGCCTCATTTGAGTGGAAAACTTGTAGGTCGGAGTTATCTGTTAGTATATCATCCCAATATTATCATATCATGTTCTTTTTTCTTGACAGCACTATGAGTCTGTGATAAGCAGAACAGTGAGTTCTTAAAGTTCAATCCCGGAGCAGAGGGATGGATAATGCAAGTTTTCAGCTGGATCAGACCAAAACAAGCATTGAATTTCTCTGCCTCTCGAACGTGCTTTGCTCCTACAACTGCATTTCCTTGTACGTCGAGGCAGTTGTGTAACATTTGCAGGGCAGTTATTTTTCACTAATTCTGTTACAAGTGATAGACTATGCTGTAAAGGGTTAATCAGAATGAAGGAGATCTTGTCCTCTAATTGAGTATCTCTTCATGATCTATTCAGCAGCATATGCTGCTATTTTTACAAAAAAAAAAGAAAAAAATCTGTTGCTGGTCTCCAGAACGCGTGTTTCAGAGTGAGCCATGAGAATGTGAAGCATTAGGAAAGTAACTAAGCTCATTAGTGATGAGGGAGGGTTTTGCTGTATTATCTGTGATGTTGTAATATCTCTGTCTAATTAGCTCTTCTACTAATTAGATTTAGAGCAATTAAAAGCTTTAAAGACTTCTGAGAAGTTTTTTGAAAGGACTGTAAATTTCAGGTACCTGACTTTTGGAAAGAGCATCTTGGTGTGTGCTCACCGGTGCCAGTGACTGACTTAGATTAATTTCCAATTAATTATTGAAGGTCGGACTTAGTCTATCACTGTTATCACTGTCTAGTACTATATGTGTAAGTCCTCTAAAGATCTGGGTGTTCTGCAACAACTGGCAGCCATTTGGTGCTCAGTTCAGCAGAGCCAGAAACAGAAGACGTGCACACGTAGTGCTCTCATGCGGAGAGATTATATTTTTCTTGGTTTAAAATAAACCATTTTGATTGAAAGCATCTGCTTTTCCTTTTGCATAACAAAAATGTTTTCCAAAATTAAAGTCTTCTAAAGTGGAAATCTTTGCAGTCTCCTACAGAGAGTTTTATCCAAAAACCAGCAGTTTAATTTACAAAAACGCGTTGTGCTTGAAACTGTCGTGATGAAGTCTTACTCATGATCTTCCGGATTCATGGAGAATCTTTGGCAAATAGTACTGCAGCTGTCTTATATTCCTTAAAGAGCTGTGAAATTCTAACTTTGGATTTCTGTCCTGAGTATAGATTAAAGGTTAAAGCTCAAAATATACAGGGACTTGGTTAAATCGGACTAGTTTTAAGCCTATTGACTGTAGTATCTGTTTAGCAGCTTGGTCGTTCTGAGGCATTAGTGCTTTGAGAGTTGAGCTGAGCATCTCCTGAATGAAGATCCCATCTCTGGGTTTGAATGCTCAGTAGCAGAGCTGTGGTTGCTAGTAAGAGATCAAATACTTGCCATGCTTTTCTGAAAAGGGTAGGGGCTCCGACTGTGGGGAGAATGTCATTGGCTTCATTAGATACTGAGCCAGAATTCCGTGGTTGGTGTCGTCTGTTTATGTGCTTGTCACGCTGGGAAGGTTATGGAGCAGGATCTCTAAGAAATGCCTTTACTTCAGTAGTATGCCTGAAGGATCCCATTTAGATGGAGAGCTCATGGGCAGAACATCTCAGTCATCAGCAAGCTGCTCTTTATTTCTTTTGGTTTTGACACTCATGTCTTCTCTTCACTCACTTTGGAAGAGAGAGCATCAGAAGCCTACGTGTGGATGGCTTCCCAGCCTGGAGGAGTGCTGCAGCGTGTTTAGCAGTTCCAGTGCTCTTGCCTAGAGCTCTCAAAGAGCCGTGAGCTCTTCAGCTGAGCCTAAGCCAACAACTCTACAGCTTTAGTCCAGGATTGCTGCTGATTTACGCTGAGCTTTTAGGTAAGGCACCCAGATGTATGCTGTAGGCAAAATCTGTATGTGAGAATGGGAGAAGAGTGAAAAGCTGTCATGGGAGCTGTTATAGCACAGATTGATCACATGCTTTAAAAACATGTGAAAGATAATTCATCTTTCTGTATTAGCAGCACTGCTATTTCTTAGGCACTGCAGTTTATGTTTCTACTGAAACATTCAAGTGAGGGATCTGACATGTAGTTTGGACCAGAGTTTTTCTTAACAACTTATGTTTGTCATAGATAACTTTTTCTCACACACACACATGTAATTGCATGTCAAATGCTTGTCACTACTGAAGGATGCAGCTTCCTCCTAGAAGTTGCCATTAAAATCGTTTGATGAGGCTGAGACTCTGTCTCCCAAGTACCAGCTTTCAGTGACTTCTACTTTTGGACTTTCCTGTTAGGGATTTGGTGGGTTTGGATAACACGCTTCGTACGATTCCTACCTGTGTATATAACACTTAACAAAGTTGGTTTAGCAGCATGATGGAGAGAAATAAATCTCCGATTACTTCCCTTTGCCATCTCTAGAGTGGGGAAGGCTGAGAGCAGAAGTTGCAAAAGGTTGTTCTACAGGCCAGTATTAAAGCAGCATCTGGACCTCCTAGGTCTGGGGCTAACCAGCTGGGAGGCTGTATACCTCCTAAAGCATTGAAAGCTTATTTACTTTGATTTTTGTTCATTATGGAAATTATCTCTAATAGGAGTACTTTGGAAGCAAGCACTCAAGCCCTTGATGGTTAGCATAATTGTTATTTGCCTCAACTTTCTGAAAGGACTTATTAGTAAGATAAGTTTTTCAAAGTGAATGTGAATAGAATGGTTCAAAGGGCTGTGCACTGACCTCCTCAGCTTTGAAGTAAGCTTAATAAAAGAAATTCTTAATGAATGTATTCCAGGAATAATTCCTTGGCACTGCAAAACTAAATTTCAGACTTTTGGTTAGAGAGAAGTACTCAGTGTCTGCATTGTTACAGAGTATTTTGCCTGCTTGGTGTTGATCAGCAAAGCAACTGGAAAAAAATAAAAGGCTTTATTTAACATCTGTGGCTCTTCTGTCTCCACCTTCTGGAAGCTGATAGCAAATCATTTAATATCAACTTACTGAGTTAATTAACTGGAAAGCAAATGTGTTTCAAGATGCGTGTTTTGACCCTAGTTAAAGGATGTCAGGATTTTGTTTTAGTTATTCCAAAACACCGAGTCTAGGGAGCAAATAATTGGGATGAAAATTCTCTTTAAGCCAAAACTGTCTTATTTATCGTCTCTGTGGAATGTGTCAGACTGAAGTCAGCCGGGAGGTTAGCTTGTTTATCTGAACTGGGGGCATATTGTTGTAAAAGAATAAAGTAAAACTGCCATGTTGCAGGTGACCCCTTCAATCCACTACCATCTGAATGTTCTTGGCATATGTGTTCAGAGGTGAAGAACTACAGAATCATAGAATTGTTTGGGTTGGAAGGGACCTCGAAGATCATCTAGTTCCAACTCCCCTGCCATGGGCAGGGACACCTTCCACTACACCAGGTTGCCCAAAGCCTCATCCAACATGGCCTTGAACACTTCCAGGGATGGGGCAGCCACAGCTTCTCTGGGCAACCTGTGCCAGTGCCTCACCACCCTCAGAGGGAAGAATTTCTTCCTTATGTCTAATCTAGATCTCCCCTCTTTCAGGTTAAAGCCATTGCCCCTTGTCCTGTCACTACATGCCCTTGTAAAAAGCCCCTCTCCAGCTTCCCTGCGGCCCCTTTAGGCACTGGAAAGCTGCTATAAGATCACCCCGGAGCCTTCTCTTCTCCAGGCTGAACAGCCCCAACTCTCTCAGCCTGTCTCCATAGCAGAGGTGCTCCAGCCCTCGGATCATCTCTGTGGCCTCCTCTGGCCCCGCTCCAGCAGCTCCATGTCCTTGTGTTGGGGACCCCAGAGCTGAAGGCAGTGTTCCAGGTGGGGTCTCACGAGAACAGAGTAGAGGGATTGAGAATAATTGAGAATTTCTGAGAGGACAGTCTGGTCCACCACGGGTAGTGTGCCGAAGGCTATGCCTTCAAAGAGAATAAACTGTGCCTTGTCTCAGACCTGCAGGTGAGAAAATGTAGAAGGGGAGAGCCAGAGAACAGTACTTCAGAAAAGTATGCTCAGGATTTCGTCTCCCTCTCACTGATTTTTTTGGGTGGTATTTTCTTTGTGCTGTTCCATACCTTGGGCTATTCCCTGGCCAGCAGTATTGTAATGTGGATCAAATGATCATCTTGGTTTGTCAGAGTGATAGGTCAATGAAAGCCATGAGCTCTGAGCAGAAGCTTTGCAGCCTGTTGTCACATGGGGGTTTTTCCCTATAGCCTTTAGCTGGAAATTTAAGTCTTCTTCCTTGGCCATTCTTGTCCCTCTTCAGGTTGCAGCTGCTCCCTGGTGGTTGCCTGTGAAAGGAGCCAACTGGAAGCACCCCGAGGGTCCTGACTCTACTATCTCCAACAGGTAAGCCACAAATGGCCACTCAATTACAATACATAGTGCTTGTAAATATTCCTGTAAACTTGCACCAGGAATGGAGGTGCAAGAAAGGGTTTTTAATTGGTAACCTGCTTGCTGCTGCTTCTGAGACTATTTTCACATCTTCTGCTGTGTTGTATGCAATATTCGTGGGGCAGATGGTCAATGGCATAGTAGTGTTTCAAAAAGGTCTATGAGCACTTTCCACCCAAGGGAAAAAGGGACCATACTGAAACGTGCTTCAGCGTGTTTTGTGTTCACATTTATGTATCAGCAGTGAAACAGAGCAGATCGCCAGAGGATCAGCAACTTCAGGGCATTCAGTGCGGATCTGGATTTGGCGAGGAAGACTAAATACTAGCTGCATGTGTGCTCTGGGATTCCATGTAGCGTGTCTTCCATCTGGGATTTGGAGGCCTGTCTCTTTGGCAGCAGATGACTAAAGAGTTTTGTGCTTTTGAATGTATTCTGACTTTGTAGGCTGATTGTTGCGGAAAATCAGTTTTGACACTGTTATCTAGAAGCCCTAAGTGCTTTGGAAAACTGTTTTGTGTTTTTTTTTTTTTCTTTGGCTTAGCTTTGCTATCATGAACCCTGAAACTTGCTGATCTGTGTCTTTATATGATCTCTTTCAGTTCAGAAATGAAATTAATTTTGTGCCTAGAAAATGAAAAGCCTTCATTATTCTCAGGTGCTTCTTATGGATGCTGGAGAGCTAACTCTGGGTTGCACATGTTGAAAGCCATTGTTCAGTTGTGTTTTACTATATGCTTTCCTGGATGTGACTGTCTTCATTTGAGACCTCTTGTATTGCAGGTCTTTCTCTCACCAGGCAGGTGCCAGTAAAGTTGGCACTAGCTGCCTTAATCAACTAGTTAAAGTTTCAAAACTGCAGTTTGAAATAAAGTCAGGCTCTCTAGCCTAGATCTAGTAGATGCTGGCATGTTTTTGAGTCCTCTAAGGACAGGACTATGTTAGTGTAACATCATCTGGTGGCTGAACTGCTTAGTAACAAGTCCGTTGTCTGTTCTCCAAGGGCAATGAAAGAATTATGTGAGGCAAAAATAGAGATAATATCAGGAGCTGTTGTTAGGGGGAGACAGAAAAACCAGGTCACAGTCAGCAGGTAAGAGTTGGAAACCTGCCACCTAAATCTAGTCTCGTAGAAGTATGGCACAAACCTGGCCCAGTACAACTGCTGGTGAGCTTCCCTCAAGGAAGCACTCTAACGGACCAACTGTCCAACATGCTGGCCTGTTAAATGAGGCAGGAAAGACAAGTTCCTAGGAAGTCCTCTGTATGGATCTTCTGGATCAGTATCCTCAGCTCTTGAAGTATCTTGGTCTATTAGAGGCTTGGCTGGGGAGGATCTTTGTGACAAGAGTGACTAGGCATTGTTTCTGTCTTTCTCTGGAAAAAGAGACCATGATTGTAAGGGCAATCCTGGAACCAAACCAAAGGAAAGATGGGAGCTTTTGTGTAAACTGGACTGCTTGAAACACCCAAAAAACCCACCACGTTTTTGTTAACTTTCTGCAGTTCACTGTTTCCTGGATTGAGTGCTGCAAAAGATGATGTTGCTAGGACTAAAGACTCTTTCCAAGGAGTAGTGATGCTGTAGGCTTTTGGTGTCTTCCTTTCGATCTCTGAGCACCTACATTTCCCCATCAGCCAGTGTATTGGTGGTTCTTCCCTGACTCCTGGGTGCAGCAGGTTTCTGAGGGGAGACCATGAGAAAGCACAAGCTACGAATGTCTTTTAACTGTATAGAGCTGTACATGAAAGCATGATGAGACAAAGAGAGCTTAATATTTTTCCTCTTATTTTTCTCTGGCTGCATTTAGCATCCAACATCTTCTAGCATCTTGCTGTCTTTCTTTAAATAGCTTATTTTCTGTAAAAGTAATTTGATAGCTTGTCCTGTTGTAACTGAACTGTGAACTTCCTCACGGTCCTTTGTGGCCATCTCTAAAAGAATGTCATGAAGCACTTGTGCTATATAGCTGTGAGATTGCCTAGTTCTGCTGGTGATCTTGTCCTATTTATTTTGTTCTCCAGAATGGATCATCCAGTTCTTCATGTTTCCTGGAATGATGCGGTGGCATTCTGCACGTGGGCAGGGAAACGATTGCCAACTGAGGCTGAATGGGAATACAGCTGTCGAGGGGGCCTTGAGAATAGGTACCCATCACAAATTTGTCCCTGATAAATGTTTAAACCTGAGATTTACTAGATAAGGCAGAGTTGTTGGGTTTTCCATTACCCTCAACGTTGTCTCCTTGTGTAACATGCACACGTGTGGTAAATGTAACACTGACTTGCACACTTACTCATAGAACCCTTGCTCTCCTTGAAAACCTGCTAGATGTTGGTACAAATGGAACTGGAAAATAAACAGTTCTCCAGGGTAAGGTGGGGAGGAAGGGGTTTGCAGGTGCTGTGTCTCATTTTTTTTTTTTAATTAGAAAAAAAAAATGTTTGACAACTGTTCTTCTGAATGTCTTTTAATAGACTTTTCCCATGGGGCAACAAGCTTCAGCCAAAAGGACAACATTATGCCAATATCTGGCAGGGAGTGTTCCCAACTAATAACACTGCAGAAGATGGTTACAAAGGAACTGCACCTGTAAGTGTGTCTCCAACGGATTAGTCATATGGAAATGAACTTATATTCCTAAAATTGAGGTCTTTGTTCAGCACAATGAACCATGGCTGTTGCCCATTCCTGTACTCTTTCACCTTTAGATTTTTAGGGTTACAGTGTATTTCACTGCAGGCTTGAGTATTAACAAGGGACACTTTTTAAAAGCTAACTGGAAAGTATAGATCACGTTCATTTTAACTTTTAGTTTCTCTCAAACTGACCTCTTTTCCCCCTTTCCAGTCAGTTTGTAGTCAGATGCTGAAATACTCTCTGCCTGCACTTTTGACATTGCCATTTTCTGAACTCTCATTTTTTGTAGTTGTTCTCAAGGCACAAAAATTGTGCAACAGTTTAAAAGAAATGAAACTTCCTTTTTTTGGAAATATTGAGTCTGTCTTGTACGGCAAACAATGGAGTAGAATTTTCAAGGCGATCAAGGGTGTAAATGAATTATTAAATAGTAGTTAAAAGTAAGTCCAAAAAGCTTCATCAGCAGAGAAGCTTGCACATGTGTGAGTTGACAGCCACCCTTGCTTTTCTTTGATGGCTGGGGGAATCTGGAAGTTTTAAGCATGGGCATGGAGGTCAGATCACGAATGCTATGTGCAGGTCTGTGCCAGCTGGTCCAACAGTGCCTCTCTTTTGAGGATCAGTTTCCAAAACCAGTGAGAAGATGCCATGTACCATAGTGGAATTGTGGTGCTGAGAACCTTGAGGACCATAATAGTCAATTCCTTCATTCTGTTTTGTTTAAATGGAGCATGTAAAAATGTTGTAGTTCTGCACTACTAATTTGCTGTCTGCTTTTGAGACACGAAGGCAGAAGCTCAGAGTGAGGACAAACACACCTTGGGCACACTGGTCTTCAGGATTAAAACCCATATTTCATGTTGAGTGGCTTATGGAACTGGCACTTGTGTTCCATATCTTGTACAGGTCACTGCGTTTCCTCCCAATGGGTATGGCTTGTACAATATTGTAGGCAACGCCTGGGAATGGACGTCTGACTGGTGGGCTGTTCATCATTCCACAGATGAAGTTCACAACCCTGTAAGTGTTTTACTGGTGTCACGTGAAGTAGAGAATTCCGTCTTGCGACTCTGATCTGGTTGCTGTTTGGAAGCCTGCTGTTCTCTGCTCCTCTCTGCTGTCTCTGTGGGATGGGCTGTGTTCTGGTGAATTAGGAAGCACCACGTCACAAATCATCAATACTGAAATTGCAGTGGTGTAGTGCAATTTTCTTGGTTTACTTTTTGTTGGACAGGCCTCCACAACTGGTTAGTAGCTGAATACTTCCAAACCAACATCATATTACATAAATCAAGAATTTGCCACTGCAGTGGAATTACTTTAAAATAAAAGGAAGATTTTTTTTATTTGTTTAAGTTGCTATAAACTGTAGCACTTTTTTTTTTAACAAGTAGAGAATAAACCATCCTTAATTATGTTTATGGCTTCTACTAGCTCGTTTAAAACTCAGCATGTAATAAAGCTGATGTTTATGGGCAGAAGTGGCTTACTTGGCTTTGGGAGATTAATCTTTGGTTTTCTTTGTGGCAGGTGGAGAAAGGTCCTGCAGGGTAAGCTTCGCATGTGGGGTTTCTCATGCAGTATCTCAGCAGATTCAAGTTCTAATATTCCATCTCCTTCTCTCTAATTTCTCCAGGATGACTAAATCTGAGAAATGCACTGCTCTGCTCTCACAGAGCTTGTTTTGTTCAGACACAGTTATCTGTAATGAGAAACCAATTAAACCTCACAGGGCAGGAGCTGTTTGCTGCAGGATTTGAGTATCCCCATGCTGCAGTCTCCTATGATAAGTGTGGTCTTTCTTTGGCATGCCAGGCATAGTTGCAGGCCTTTCTGGGAAGTCAGTAATTGGGAATGGCTTGAGGAACTTATTAAACTTTTTTTTTGGTGTGTGTTCTGTACCTTGCAGAGGTTGACATTCTGCTGTTCTTCCAGGAGGGTGTAGCTAGCATGAGAAATCAGACTAATCTTGGGGTCTAGATTGTTCTTGATCTGTACTAGCAGTTTCTTCCCACTGATGGAGCATCTGGAGATGCTCCTAACCCATAGGAGACCTCCTAACCCATCCTAATCACAGTGGACAATTTCAAGTCGCTTGTATCCCAGTAAGATACCATTGGTCTCTCTAGTGACTCCAGCTATGTGTCAGACAGTGCCCTACGTGTATGTGCCCAAGTAACTGAAACGCTGGGGGCTGCAGCACTTTTTTCTTGTTTGATTTAAAATAGGACAAACTATTCTCTAATTTTTGTTGCTAGGCAGTCTTAGTGGCCCAGCAATGGCTAAAGAACCTCCTTTTCTTTTGGGACCCTGGCTGTATTATATCTCAATCTACTACCTTCCTCACAGACTGCACAAATTTGTATGATTTGATTTGAATATTTCACAGCAGGCAAAATTTTCTGCCAGTTTCTGTAATTCAGCAATAATGGAAGGCTGCATTGCATGAATTGTCTCTTGAAGGTATAAACACACCTGCCTCTTTTCCAACATTGGCTCATGGCTTGCATACCTATACAGCTGAAATTTATACAGAACTTACACTTAGCATTCAAACTGATTCTTTGTGTTTTTTTTTTCCTGTTTGCATATTGATTGATTAGGAAAGAAACGTCTGCTGTCTTGCAATTCTGTTTCCATTCTGATGAGTTTTTTTATATGCAATTAAGGATGATTTTTTTCTGTACCTTATGAATGGAAACAAGGCCAGTTTGAGAGCAACATTTCTAAAGATGAAGTCTTGAGTGGCTAGTGGAATGTAAATTTAGATGAAAGTGAAGAGCAATAAAACTAGCAAACTTCCCCATGTCAGAATAGAGCATTGATTTCATTGCAGCCCTGCAAGTCAGGGGAGGAGGAGGAGAGTGGGCAAGGCTGAGCTCTCTGTTCCAGACTCTGTGGTCACTATGGTTTGCACCAGGGAAGCTTCTGCTGCACCTCAGTGCCTGGAACTGGCGCACCATGATCTGCAGATCAGCCTTCTTTGGGGAAGGGGGAAAGGACCCCGTGCCCACCCACACCCTTTCAGGGACAAACAGCATCCGTGCTCCTGGGAAAGAACACCAGTCTAGCAGTTTGTAGCATATTGCAACTGTCCCTGTTCTTGTTCATTTGTTTCTCAGTCTGACAGCTGCTTCAATTTTGGCTCCTTGTTTGGACAGTGGCCCCTCGGGACAGGGAAAAGTGCACAGCTCTCCAGAAGTCTTCTTTCCTAGCAAGAAGTGGCAACACTGGGAAGCAAAAATAGAGTAACTAGGCCAAGTCTGGAGAAGAAAAACACTTTTGATGTTGTGTTTAGAACTTAAGTCGTGGATCTTGGGACTATTGCACCTAGATACGTTCTAGAGTTGTTGTTTTTTCTGTAGGTTAGCATAAGGTACTGTGCATTGTGTGTTTAAACAGGTGTCTCTTACAGGGTCTGTCTCATCACTGGCAAAGGCTTAGAGCTTTTTTGGTGTAAGATGACTGGCTTTTGTAAGTGAAAGGCATGAAACAACTAGTTTATGTGGAAGCTACTGTGGTAATAATAGCAAGAACCTCCAGGAGTCTTCATCCAAACTGTGGTTTTCATGTAATCCTTTCCCTGCCATTTATGCTAGTTAACTTCATCTTACTTGATTTTAAAAAGAGAAATAGATTTCTCTGTGTCAGCCTTGCCAACCAGTCCAAGTTGCAGAAAATCTAGCTAGAATTGTGTATTTGTTGAACTACAGTTACTGTGGTGTGATGTTTGGGGGGGGAATCCTTTTTCTCAAGTGTTGCAATGGTGCTCCTTCATTAGAATGACTTATTTAAATGAGATGCTTTTGTGTTTATCATGTCAGTGCAGCTGTGCATTGGTGTTGAATTAAGGTGATGTGAGAAACAAGTGTTGTGAATTTTGCTCTCTGTTAAGTGCCCACGAGTTTGCTTGGGTTTTTAAATCCAGCAGAAACGTTTTGCAGCTACTTTAGAAAGTTTTTAAAAATTAGGTTTTAACAATGATGCTTTTAGGTTTTTTCAGTTGAAAACTAATTGTCAGAATCTAGTGTCTGAGGCAGAGCACTTCAAAGTGAATTCCAAAGGGTTTTTCTGATTAAATGGCTAAGGAAACTGAATCTCATAATGTGAAAGGGTGTCCCAAAATAGCCAGGCTGCAGTATCTTCTGAGACATTAAAAATGATTAGCACCATATCTATCAGAGCCAATCTCTTAAGTCTCTCCAGAGTACAAGTCAGCGTAACCTATATATAGGATGTGTTCTTTCTGCCTAAAAGACTAGGAATTCTTCTATCAAGAGGATAATGTTTTGTAATAGACGAGATTATTGGAGAATACTGTATGAGATTTTTGCAGGGGGTAAAGCGTTTCAGTGCTGTAATCCTGCTTCAGAGGCTGGGGGGGTTTCAGTTGAACTTGGGCTTTTGTTACCAAATAACCTTCAATGCTCAACTTCTGCCTGGCAGAAGATATTTGTAATTAATAAAAAGAGCTTATGCAAGTACCATTTTTGGTTCACGTGCTTCCTCAATATATGTTATCCCTGTGTAATTGCTGAAACATACAATAGTCTTATGGCTGGACAATAAACCTTCTAATCCTAAATTAGCATGGTCCTCTTAGTTTATAAACGTTACTTTGGAGCTAATAGCAAAGATTGCTGCTCTGTATTTGCACTACAATTTTTAATGGGAAATCCTGCTCAACAGCTCCATTGTTCTCTGGTTTGTCTTGTTCTCATGTAGCTTTTTTTAGGTCAGTTTTATTTGGGCTTGCTCTACCCTGGCTTCCCTTAATGAGATTAACAGGCTGCTTGAGTTGATTGTGCTTCTTAGTAGCTTATCTTAGAGTGGAGCTCCGTGCATCTACGTGCAAGTGTTGGGAAGATGATTTCCAGAGCCTTGTAAATGGAGTAAGCCTGTCCCATGGAGGAGCACCCTGGCTCGGAAATGAGTGGACACTGCCTGTGGGTGTGGTTTTCCTTGAGCATTTGTAGGATATTAAATGCAGTAGTAAGCCAATTTGCCCAATTTTTTCCTAACTGCTAAAAACTGGGCTGATGACTTTCTTGTAATCTATATTTATTGATATAGGTAATGGTCTTAGCAGAAAATGCAGAACATCACAGCTCTTTTTTTCTTCCTATATTCCACAAATTCTTCTGATAAGGTTTTATCTAGAAATACAGACTGGATTTATATACCCTACCAACCAGTGAAGGAACAACAGCTTGTACCTCGAGTTAAGAGAAAAATTCTTTATTGGAGGCTTGTACATGATAAGAAAATGTTTGTGTTGCATGCTAGTGTAACGTGCAGAAGCAGAAATACATGCAAATCAGGTTTCTTACAACTTTGAGAGGATTCTTAATGACAGTACTGTCTTCTAGGCGAGGCTTGCCGGTTAACTACTAAACCACAATTTATTTTCTTGGTCTGTTTGTCACTTCTATGCAACAAATAACTCTTGTGGCTTCTTCTTAAAAGTAGTTTCTCCATGTACGTAGAGTGTAGAAAGCATGTGAGAATATTTGGTATCAGCAGTGGGACCATGAAGTATAGCAGCATTCTCTAGGTGTTGGATGAGCACAGTAGTAACTTCCACTGCTAAAAGGAACGAAGTGGGAGAATTGCTCACCTGTGTAATAAATATGCATCAAAGCAAGCGAACGAGCGCGTTGTCAAGGAAGCCCAGCTTTCTCCTTGAACTATTAGGCCATCCTTTGGAGGTGGAACTGAAAAAGAACAGTGAAATAACCTCGCTAAATCAATTGTAGGGCTGATTTCCTAAGCACTTCAAATCACATACATGACACTGCAGATGCACGCGCGATGACAAAATTGTTGCTCCTAAGTGCAGTGCACTGGAAAGAGAATATGCACCAAATGTAGATTCATAGATTCATAGATTTCTAGGTTGGAAAAGACCTTAGAGATCATTGAGTCCAACCATCCCTAATCCCCATTAAACCATATCCTCAAGTAGCTCATCCACCCTATTCTTAAACACATCCAGGGATGGGGACTCAACCACCTCCCTGGGCAGCCTGTTCCAGTACAGTATTACCCCAGCCAGTGTAACTGCATTTAGGGAGCTGGAAGTTCTCCATATTCCTTGTGGAGGCTCATGAGTTTGCATATATTTGTTTCATGGCAGTGGAACTGCCGAGAATCACCGATTTCACTACACGTGCAGGCTGGTGTGTGAAAATTCCCTCATCTCTCGTTAGGAAAAGCCTGAAACTACGGGAGTGGATCTATTTTCAAAGATGGGTGCTCTCATGATTGCCACGGTACTTTTTACAGCATGTTATCAGGTGCTTCCCAGAAACAAAGCCAAGGCACTCTTGGCCAGTGAGCAGCGAGTTGAATCTTAAATATTTGCAGCAGTGGGGAGAGAGAACAGTTATTCTCACCTGTCTGCAAGCCTTTTATAAAGGTAATTATTTCAAGCTCTGTGGTTAAGACAGACACAGCTGAAATTTGTTTAGCTTGAATATTTTAGTTTGAATATTTATGCCTGCTCCTTATCCATCTTGCTGTTCTTACAGCTTTTTGCCTTTACCCCATAATTGTTCCTCCTTGAATACTAACAGTGTCCTCTCCCCCACAGCAAGGACCTTCATCGGGGACAGACAGAGTGAAGAAGGGTGGATCCTATATGTGCCATAAGGTAATGTGAAAAGGCCTGGGGTATTTTCATATTATCTTTCCTCTGGAAGTACCTGATTTGACCATTAAATGATTTTCTGATGGAGTTTCCTGGCAGCCTGGATGCTTGTTTAAGGGGTTTCAATTTAAGGAAGAGCAATACCCGATAGTTTTAAGGAATTCTTTTTGGTTAGTTTGGAATGAAAACAAACTGCTTTACCCAGTATGACTTTATGGATGTAGAAGTTAAAATTGATGTATGTCTCTAATGCTGTTTTCATTATAGTGCTTGAGTGATACTTGTAGGAGTAGAAAGTATGGATGTGACTTTTTAGAGTTTTAGAATGACTCTTCATCCAGAAAGGATATCAGGTGTTTGCAGAAAGATTGCTGGGATGTGAATGCTTCAGCTTAGTTGATAGCAGAATTGAAATTCTTTCTGAAAAGTCTAGATACCACCACAATGCAATAGCTGTTCATGACACAAATAATGTTTTAAACTCTGTTCACGCAGCGCTGGAAAAAATGCTCATTGTAGATCTGCTTTTTCATTGAAGCTGTCCTGTTCTTTCTCTCTTTCAAAGCCTGCAGCTGGCAAATCATTCTCGTAATTAGATTAAATTTTCTACAGTGAGATCCCATTTTCTACACTGATTTCCTTCTTAGGTGAAATCAATGTCAGATGTTAATTAGCAGTTTTGATTAAATTAACACTGGAATAGACTTTTCTTCAGTGATGAATAATGTGACCCATTTTAAAGGCTTGTGAAGATTCTAGTCTGTCCTAGTCTTTTTTGTAGGTGATAAAACTAGGCTGTGTAGCAAGACAAAAAACCCCACTGAATAGTTAGTACAAGGGCTCTTTATTAGCTGCCTAAAAATCTGTTCAGACCGAGCTGTCTGTTCTGCTGTTCTGCCTCTCAGAGTTGACACAGGCTAAACTTTGCATCTTCTTACATGGATGCTTAGCAGCCACTTTGATTTTCAAAATAGTTTGGCTTCTAAATCCTGTGGTGTGCTGTTAAGGTTTAGGGCAGACCTCTGTCGTGTGGGATGGCCACGGTGGGCACCATTTTGTGAGGGCAACGGCTGGCTTGGCACTGCTGCCAAATAGCTGGTGGGCAGCTGGGGTTTGGATGTCCTCAGACAGAGGTTTTGTTAGCTCCTGGGCATGAACATCAGGGACCTGCTGCCTTGGTGGGGATGGCGTGGTCGCAGGGCTCGTCCCTTGATGACAGAGGTGGTTTAAGGTGTCACCATCCTCGTGTTTGTACAAATTCAACTGTTTAGTAGCTGTGCCCAAACTCCTGAAGGGGTCTACGTTTAAAGGAAAAAAACAAAACAAACCCAAAACAAACCCTCTCCTCCCTGCTGTCCTCTGCTCCCCTTCAACCCTTACTCAAACCTAGAAGCCAAATAAAAAAAAAAAAAAAGAAAAAGGGAGGGGAGAGGAGGTGGAGAGAAAAAAATGTGCTTTTTAACCCAGCCATTCCAGCAGCGTGGGTCAGAGCCTGACTGCAGCCGAACCAGCCTGAAAGAAAGTGGTGGGGTTTGTCAGAGGCCAGGAGCAGCAAAATGGGGCAGAACTTGGGTTGTACTGGAGTTGCTACACAAACGGAGTCTGCTGCCCCGGTGCTTTATTAGTGAAATTACCGGTGCGACTGTCCTTCCGTGCCACAAGGGATAACTACTTCTGGGCAGTCAGTCTGACACCATAGCAAACCACTTAAGCTGGTTAGTTCTGCAGACTGGAAACCACCGTTCCTACTATCGGATAACTGAGAATCTGTAGCCCCGTGAATAGCAGAGTTTTTTCTTTTTTCAAGGGGTGTAAGGATCTTAACGTGCCCTGAGATGTGGCCAGACCTGTCCAGGCAGGGAGCGTGCAAAACACGTTACAGACCCGTGTCTGCCTTGCTGTGAAGATGTCTGCCCTTGTCCTGGTTAGACTGGTGTTGGTTGTGTATAACTTAACAGCCTTTCTCAAAATAACTTGTACAAAGCACCCTGCAGCAGTCCTCTTCTGCATCTCTTCAGATGACATTTTTGATCTGAATCAGTCTATCACAGAAATAGCAAATATGCAAGCACAGAACAAACACCACCGACGTGCACCAGTGGCATCGAATGGCTGGCTGATGGGTGCGAGGACGAGTGCTGTGAAATGATCTGTCCTCCTTTCTCACTGAAAGAAATGAATTGGCAATGATGGTTCCTCCTCTCATTTTCGGAGAGGTGGCTGCTGTGTGATTGCAGCCTGTTCTGGAAGAGGACGGTGTTCAAAGTTGTCTGCTAGGAATACTGGAATGGAATTGGATCATTTCATCAGTGGCTTAATTTTAAATGTAAATCTTTTTATAGCTACCAGTCTGGATTATATCTTGATTATAAATATCCCCAGAATGCTAGCCATGGGAATACTGGGAAGGAGTTGCCTCCAGTTATTCCTTTCTTCTTGTTGCATGTCATTCAGTGAAACGTGTTTTGATGGATGCTGGTACCTGTCCATTTCCAGTTGCTCCTTAGCAGTCTGATAGGCAGATCAAGGCACTGAGATTCTCTCTCTTCCTCTGAGGAGCAGCAGAATGGTCATTTTAGCTTTTTCCCAGAGCAGGATATATCGTTAGACACTCTTGTTATCAGTCACTTTGCCATTCAAACTACATTTTGTACCAGCTGCAACTGGTCCCTGACTACAGTGGGATTTCCCTTATTTCCAGCACGGTGCTTTAGATCTGTATCAGTTCACTGGTTTGTCTGGCAGTGTTTGAGCTGTTCTGCTGCATTACCCTCACAACCCCCTTGTTTAAGGAAGCACAAGCTGTGAGATGCTCTGACGTTCACTTTTCCTCCTCTTCCTCTGCAGTCTTACTGCTACAGGTACCGCTGCGTGGCTCGTAGCCAGAACACTCCGGACAGCTCTGCCTCCAACCTGGGGTTCCGCTGCGCCGCAGACGCCTCGCCAGAGCACAGCGACCCCCTGGGCAGCCACACGGAGACATGATGGGCTCAACCTCACCCAAGGAAGGAGAGGTGTGTGGAGTGTCACGCGCTGGTGACACGGAATAGAAAAATCTAGTGCTTAAACTTCCTGCTGAGGGGAAAAAAATCCAACACTCTTCAACGTTGCTTGAAGAACTGTCGTGTGTTTATCTTTGAGGAACCTGGCCTGGACTTTTATCCTGACCAAACTTTTTATTGGTGAATTCTGTTGGGTTTGGCAAGAGTATTCTGGAGATAACTAGCACAAAACTGAGCAGAAATATGCTGATTTTTAAAAGGTTAATTCATAGCTCCCTTAGAAAAGATCTTTATTAAATAGTTTTATTTATGTATAGTTTGAATTTTTACACTCCAATCCAATAAACAAGGACTTTTATAAATTTCTAGACAGCTTTAAAAGAAATCTGAAGCAGCTAAGAAAATCTAAACAGCTTTAAAAGAAAATGGAAGGAGTGAAGAAGAGATGGGGACTGAAAGGCAGACAGCTGTTGACACGGGCAGTTAGTGCAGCCCTTGTAGTACATTCCTGTTGCCGTGAAAATCAGATCCAGAAATGTGCTTTTCCAGTGAGATACTCGCTCTTCAGAAAGTGCCTTCTGCAGCTGAGGGATGATATTTCTCAGGGGGATGATGATTAGAAATGATGTACATGTTTGAATAAAATTTCAAGCATTTATTTATGCTCAAGACTTTTACTGATGGAAAAACACTGGCGATTTCCTTTTAATTTCTCTTGGACAATGCTGTAGAGTTATTTTGGGTACTTGCAAATTGCAAAAATAGCATCATTAGAAACTGAAGCTAACAAATGCTTTCACTTGTAAAAAAGATCATTAAAGTGAAAAGATGGCAGATACAACTGTGAGCACTAAGGCCTAATAAGGTAAATTTTTAAACTGTTCTGCTTAAAAAAAAAAAAAAAAAATCCCACTTAAAAGGAGAGGAATTTTAGCAAGGAGGAAACAACAGCTTTTGCATGGATTCCAGCCTTTCCCACCGTTGTCTTTTCTGTAGTAAGTTGGGGTTGGGTTTAATACAACTGGGGTTAAAGCCAATCCATTGCTTGCCAGCTCCTTCTCCACTCGGTGCTTCACATTGAAAAGCAGATCCTGGCGAGCCCTTCAACAAACACCAGCCTGGATCTGCTGGATCCAGGCAATTCTGGCAAGCAGAAAAAAAGATCCTGGAATATACCACTGTGACTTGGCACTCACGTGAGCCTGATAAAAGCTGTGGTAAATATTTTGTGCAGTAAAGACTGCCTTACCAGCACGAAATGTTTAATTAAAATCTATGCGTTTAGAACATCTATTTTACTGAGAGTAATGGGGAAAGATTCTTTCTTTATTTCTGCCTTTCTAAAGGCATCTCTCTGCCACAAGGAATACACTTTTATAAAAGATTTTGCTTAGATTTGGTTTTGGTTTTTATTCTGGAAAAACGCCTTGGAAAAAAATATACACAATTCCATATCTTGGAAAATTCTTATGACTTTATTTAAATCAACAGCTTGATGATGCCACACCATCAGGTTTATGTCCGTCAATACTCATGGTGCTGTGGGCAGCACATGGAGGAAAGTCTTCCTCATCTTCTGCAGAGAGGGTGGAATGTGTCCTGTTCATGCTGCTTTTGTTTGCACGATGACAACTATTTTATTACAAGATCCTTCATTAAACATCTTTGAAATAATCTGATCAGATTCCAATGGGGAAGTAGATCTCCATGCCTGAGTGTTGAATACTGGGATACTGGTAATCATTCCTGCAGGATAGAGGAGGAGGGAGGATTGCACAGAGCTCCCAGGCTGCTTGAGCTGATTGATGGGATTCATGGTGAGAGAGCACACTGAACTGGGAAGGGGCAGAGTGGGAATGGATGAAGCTGAAAGGAAGCCGAAGGGAGAATTGAACAGAAAGGGTCTGTTTTCTTTTTCAGTCCTTTGTAAGGGGATTTTGGGGGATTTTTTTCTTTTCAGGATTTTGCTCCGCACCCCAAGGCAGCTGTAGTGCGGGGCACAGCGAAGCGTCATGCACACGCTGGGCGGAAAACGGCCATTACCAATTGCCATGAGTGTTTAGAACTCGATGGAAACGTGATTTCTTGTTCTTGCACGGCCTTCAGTGTGGCTGGCTGTTTTTAACAGTGCAATGCACCCTCGTTCTGTGCTGTGGAAGTTTGTTCCAACCAGGTAACTGACACTCGGTTCGCTTGCTGGAAGCGGCACGGGCTGGCTGGGATGGAAAGGGTAGGATTGCAGGGAGACAGAGGGCTTGGTGTGTTCTCTGGTTTAAGGCTGGTGATGTAAGGACTAGATACTGCTACTGGAGTTTGGGAGTCTGTGTTTTTGGGTTTTTTTTTTTTGCATCTCCACTTCCTTAACTACTCAAAATCATGCCAAGTACATATTCATAACAGGAAGCTGACAAACAGTGCTGTCATCTGGAAAACTCATCTAACCTTGAGGAATAGGAATACAGATGGTATAAAACTAGTTTTGAAACTTTTTCCAGGAGGGAAATGGAAGTAGATTGGATCATCCCCTCCCAGCCCTCCAGTCCTGCAGGCTGAAAGGTGGCTGGCACAACGCCCTCTGGGAGCAGAAAACCAGATAAGCCCTTAAACCAGATAAGAACTTGCAACCGAAGCTGTATTCTGGTCTTGAGTTACAGCACCTGGAGAACTTCTCTTCTGTAGAAGCAGGCACCCTTGATCAGGCACGGAGTAAGGTTAATGGCCACTGAGCTTGTAAATCACTACTGACAAGCAGCTGAAACCCTTGGGAAGCTTTCTGTATTGACAGAAGTGATGCTCAATGATTAACCGTAAGAAAAACCACGTGGTACTCTTTATCCTACGCTGAAACCACAGCCGGGTGTAAATCTCAACAGCAGTTCTTCACAACGGAAGGAAGCATGAAGGCGTACAGCAAATGGGGAGAAGCTCACACTGAAGTTTATCTAGGAAGTACAAGTAAACACAAAGTAAGATTTTTTTGTTTGTTTGTTTAGCAAAAAGCAAAATAAGAGCAGCAAAACATCCTTTATTCTTTGTCAGTATCAGATTACTCTTTCAGGTCTGAAGCAGTTATCTTTTTCATTAAAAAAACAAACAAAACCTTGCTGGTGGGCTGCAGAACAATGGGTCCCCCAAGATGTACTACAGGTGTGTGTTACATCAAAGGTTATAAATAAAGATCAAACCACACAGAGCAAATCACCCAGGGGTTTGTGCCCTGATGGAGCACTGTGGCAGGGCTGTGAAAAGCAGAGCTGTGGTTTATCTGTCCCGTGTATCAAAGTTGGGAGAAATTCATAGAATGGTTAGGGTTGGAAGGGACCTCAAAGATCATCTAGTTCCAAAAAAGCAAATTCAGAACAAACCTGTTTGAAACTTCCTTGATTTGATCGTTCTAGAAAGGAGGTGAAGTAACGTGCAGTTGTGGAACGTACCCCATCCGGCAAAGCTCCCTGGTGTAAGGAGCCGTCAGTGAAGCAGTGTGAGCGTGTTAGACCTGTGCAGGAAGGGTGGAAAATTGGTGACAAACTTCTCCCTCTGCTGGGAAAGGACAGGCCTTGCTTCATTCTGCCTGGCTTTGTGGGCATGGTGAAAACAAAGCAGTCGTACGGGAGCGTTCCTTTCAGCGACTCTGCCAGCTTTCAACAACTAAACCCACAATTTTCTTGTCCAGATGGACTTTCCTATTTCCCACTTGAGTCTATTTCAGAAGGCAGAGCAGCAGCATCACACTGCTTTAGGCTGCAGAGTCTCAGTTTGCTTCCTGAGTGTGTTAAACAATAGCGCTGGAAAGTGACGTGGATGTGCCGTTATTCCAGAATTTGAGACAGACAAGATTTTAAAAGCTGGGATGATTGTATTTCCCAGAGCCTGCAGTACTGCACTGTTTACACAGAAGCCAACAGTAATGGAACTGGTCACTGAAAACTGGATTTTGGCATGCAGCTAGATGTGACTGGAGATGGGAAGGGCAGGGGGCTACAAAGCGTTGAAGCTAATCTTTCTGGGTGAGTTTTTTACATCAATAATAATTAGTTATTTGTGTTTTGTGGAACAAAAAAAAACTTATAGCAAGTACTTTAAAATAAAATATTTTATTTGAATGGGATTTAAGAAACCTAATGCCTTTCTTGCAAATGTCAACATTCCTTGGTCTCACTCTCCTGTGTAACTTTCAGTGACATTTCTCATTTTTATCACGTCCTTTCTGTGTACCAACGTTCAAGTTAAAGGTACAAATTGAGAGGTGCTTTATCATACAGCAAGCTGTCAGAACAAGAGAAAAAACACCAGGCCTGGCTTAGTAACTGATTTTGGAACATCTTGACGCTCCAGTGCTCCCTCATATCACAGCATCCACCTTGAAAACAGTCTCTTAAGATGTTGCAGGAATTTATTCTCAAAGTCTTGTCTTCCAGCTGTTACTCAAAACCACATGTGCTTCCTTGGTGGAATACATGATCAGAGTTTTACTTAACTGCAGTTTGACTACTGTGGGAAATGATATTTGCTAGGTGTGCTCAGGGACCGAAAGGTTATGGAGAGCTCCCTGAACAAGTGTCTGGTGTGGAAAAGAGGGAGCTGTCCCAGGGTAAGAAGGAAGCACACATGCGGGACCCACAGTAGCAAGGTTTTCTCAATCTGTTATCCCCCTCTGAAGATTTTTGTTCTCTGTTGCTTATTGATAAATTATGGAATCTTCCAGAATAATCAAATGAAAGTTCCTCTCCAGCAGAAATGTCAGTAGCTGCAAAAACTGCCAGCTTAGGCACCATTGAGTCAACTCGAACTGGCACCATGAACAAATTTGGTTCACACGAATGATTAAGGAATCTGCCCACGTTACCGATGTACGTAGGGTCCACGAACGTCTCCATGACCCGTCCGTCATGGAGGTGCTCCCTCACCGCTATGATATAGTTGGAATCCTGTGATGTCTGGGCCTGAGTTCTTCTACGTGCCTCGTCCAAGCCTAAAACCTCACCGGCATATTCACAGACAAATCTTCCTTTAGCGATGAACTCCAGAGTGCGAAGACCCCACCCTTTCTTCTCAGTCTTGAACACCTCAAGCCTGAGTTGCAAACCCCTCTGAACAACCCTGTTCTGACAGTTTTCACCGCACCGGCACAGGGCGTTGCACTCAAACACGGGCCTGGCGTACTCCTCTTCCTCTTCCTCTGTCGGCCTGAGGCACCAACCCTTGTAGTTCTCACCGCGGCAAAGACACGAGCACGTGTCAACCACGCAGGAGCTGGTAAGACAAGAACATCCTGGAAAGGTGATTTCGGTGGGGTCGACGTCTCCGTCTGCTCCAGCCACGCTGTCTGGGCTGTACTGTGGAGAGAACAAGAGTCAAATCTGGTCGTGTTCGGTGCCTCTGTCGACAGAGGCTGCTGAATTTTTAGTAAGTCTGTGTCTGGCAATGACTGATCTCCAAACTGAACTGAAATCATGAACGCTTTGTTTTCCTGTAAGCTTCTAACTACGAGTCTAACTTTGCTAAAACATTTTACAGAATGCAAATCAGATATTCTATACAGACCGAAAAAGAATCAATAGTCTGTTAGCGACTGAATTTCTCAAAATAGTCTACTAGCCCGAAAAAAACACGATTTCTTAGCAGACAAAACATGTCAGCTAATTGGATCAAATATACTAGATAGTTTTTATTTACAGAAACAGCAAAGTATATTTAAAGTAATTTTTCCCCTCTTCAAAGCACTCAATAAGCTACTTATAAGCTTAGTCTATAGCTATTTTAAGTCACAGAATTTCAAATGCCCATTTTTGCTAAAAACAAAGATACTTTCAATTCATCTCTTGAAAATGTTGCACTCAAACTTGCTCCTGCTAATTCTGTTAGAAATTAGATGGTGTTTGATGGTGTTGCACTAGCACACCTCTACATATTTACAAAAAAGCTGAGCTAACTACTGTGTTGTCAGGGTAGAACGTGAGATGGTATTTGCTTCACCCTAAATTCTGTCTGCAGGAACAGAAGTGCTTCAGTTCAAGCAAGCCACATTAAAAATTAGGTTCTCAAAATTACACTAATGCCCCCAGCAGGTGAATGATTATAGAACCATGAACTGTTGCAAAATAAAAGTTGATAGAAACATTGCTGAATTTGAAAATCAAAATATAAAGACAGCTACATGTATATTTTTACTTTCTTCCCAGCATTCAGCTTGCAAAGCTTGATTTAGAAACGTGGAGTATGTGCTATCACTAAATATTACATTCGTAGTAGCTTGTATCTGGTAGCTACTGTGTGTTTGAAAACATGCCAGTTCATTCAGAAAGATCTTTCTTTTCATAAACCTCTGCTTTCTCAGTTGTTTGGCTTCATTCAAAGGCAAGTTTAATCATCCCTTTTCTGTTCCCATCTTCTCCCGTTCACTGACTACAAGCTTTTCTATTTCTGTTAAATAGCAGCACACCATGCAATTTCGGAAAATTAGGGTCTGTGTGGATTAGATATTTCTAATCTTTAGAGGAGGCCATGAAGATGATCTGAGGGCTGGAGCACCTCTGCTATGGAGACAGGCTGAGAGTCGGGGCTGTTCAGCCTGGAGAAGAGAAGGGTCCAGAATGATCTTATTGCAGCCTTCCAGTATTTAAAGGGAGCCTACAGGGAAGCTGGAGAGGGGCTTCTTACAAGGGCGTGTAGTGACAGGACACGGGGTGATGGCTTTAACCTGAAAGAGGGGAGATTTAGATTAGATAGAAGGAAGAAATTTTTCACTCAGAGGGTGGTGAGGCCCTGGCACAGGTTGCCCAGAGAAGCTGTGGCTGCCCCATCCCTGGCAGTGTTCAAGGCCAGGTTGGATGAGGCTTTGGGCAACCTGGTGCAGTGGAGGGTGTCCCTGCCCATGGCAGGGGGGTTGGAACTGGATGAGGTCCCTTCCAACCCAAACCATTCTGTGATTCTATGATTCTTATTCCCCCACCAGGCTTATTAGAAGCGATTTCCTCCTGTTTTCTGTAGACTCCGACATCACTGAAGCAGGCACCTGGGCAATACGCTGTACTTCCAGGGAATGCGTTTGGAACTTAGGACAAGCAATACAGCAGAAACTGAGCTATGCCTCAGGAAGTATGAGAGAAGCTTAAACGATCACCCTGTTTCTAGGTTATACCTTTTCTTGTGAACCACTTCCGACGGGCTGTGCAGCAGAAGTGGCTGCGAAGCCCATCGCATTTTTACTCCCGGTCTGCTTTCAGCCTGCGGCCGCGCAGCACAAGAGCTTTGTTGCTCCTGAAGGTGACAGCTGCGCCATTAAAATCTACAAAACGCCGCACAGTGAGAAAGAAAACGTACATCTGCGTCCCTGACGTGCAGGGCGATGAAAGAGCACGCAGCGAGACCCTGCAGAGGGGCTGATCGGGGTAACGAGCCCCGCAGCGCTGCTGCTGGGCGGCCCGCGGGGCAGGCGGGCCCCGGAGCGGGCTGCCCGAAGGGACGGCGCCGGCAAACCGGCTCCCTGAGGCGTGCCGGGCC